ATAATCATGGAAATGTCTTCAGATGCCTCTCCTGTCTGATTATTTCTTAATCAGTATTCTTTTCCCCTTTCTTCAAGGTCATTTTTCAGCTTCTAAAATGCAGTTAAGTGGAAAATCCAGAGGGAAGCCACTCCCAAGGGCCAGTGCTGCTACTGAAATTCAGTACCCCAAAACTACATCCCCTTCTTGTTTAGTTATCACAATCTGTTCCTTAAAATTAGAAGCAGAATGGTCACTAAGATAACACATGACAGAGAGACACTGAAGGTTACTGGTTGGTTGCTGTCCTTATTTAATAGATTAGAACCCTCTGACTAGCTAGTTTTCCTGTTTGAAACTGGCCAGACCTTAATCAGTTTCAGAGTGAGGGTTTTTGTTGTTAGGCCCTCAAAATGTTGTTACAAATGGTTATATTAATCAAAGAATGGATTTTTAAAATTATTATTATTATTGGCATTTTTGGGACAAAGACTACTGTTAAAAGCTCTATTTATGAACCTTTGTATGACATTTTTTATTTCATTAAGGTATATGAAGATATGTTTTGTTGGAGAACTATATACGATTCACTAATATTCAGAGTAAATTTTGCTGGTGGTACTTCTCTGTTGCATATCTTTATACATATTTTCTTTGCAGGTGCATTCGATTAGCTTTGGTTCATGATATGGCTGAATGCATAGTTGGTGACATTGCTCCTGCTGATAATATTTCCAAAGAAGAGAAACATCGGCAAGAAAAGGTCAGTATGGAGATGGGAGTAGTGTGATTGTCCGTAGCAGTTTTCCCTGAACTGACATTCCCAAAACAACATTAAAAACACTTCTAGAACATCTTTCTAGTATAGAACTTTTGATAGTTAAACTATTTGTGTTTATTTTCAACAATTATAATGGGTTGTTGTACATTTATGGGTAAATGTAGGGTTCTAATCTACTAGTTCTTCAATTACAACCATAATGGAACCTGCCCAGCAGAGTTATAAATTGTGGTGCTTCTTAACTGAGTCAAACACATGCTGGACCTGATTTTGTGACCTTTTTTGTGGTGGTCATTAAGCAAACCAATGGTTCCCTAGGGGCTGGATGTCAATGCCAGTTTTCAGAACCATCATAAAGATCTGATCACGTGACAACAAGTGCTGCAAATAGCTGAATATGTGGTCATTTGCTGAGTAATGTACACAGAATCAGCCAGCTGTTGGAATTTCATAACCAAGTCATAAATATACCAGGGAGGTCCATTGTAACTATGAAAGACCACCAAGCAACTGGGTGTAAATCAGTGACTACTTGTTGTGATAAAAACCAAACTAACATCCCCTGGTCTTACCAATTTGAATAGCGATGCAATAGACTATGGCTCTTATTGATGTCCACAAGTAGAGAATAGAGTAGAGAATGCATTTGTTAGCATTTCAATAAAAATTAGAGCATCTTGGAGATCTTGTTTTGTTTTTTCTTTCTTTCTTTTTAGGAAGCTATGAAACATTTGACCAGATTGCTGTCAGAGGATATGGGAAAAGAGATTTATGAACTCTGGGAAGTAAGTTTTCAGAAAATAAACTTATTGACATATTTTTTTCTTTAAAAAAAACATGTTAAAATATTTTTGCATGAAAGCCACCATCAATTTAAAAAAAATTCTCTACTGCTCATTAGAAGATTCAGGGTAATTGTCATACAGCTATGATCCATGATATTGGGAGTTAGAAAGCGGTTAGCAATTTGAAGTATACATACTTAACATGATCAGTATACCTTGTCCATTGAAGTGACCTCTTTCTTCGGTTTTTGCTTAACAGCTTCAGAAAGTGAATTATGTTTTTATGTTTGCATTAGAATATGTTTGTTTTAATTTGAGGAAATAATATTGTATTTCATGAAATAATGTGTGTGGTGGATAACAGGGAGCAGAATCCTTTTCATAAAAAATATTTATTATTTAAATTATACCCTTGTTTCAATCAACCAAATCTTTAGGGTCATAGAGAAGCATAGGAAGGGTAGAATACAAACAATTAGTAATTTTAAAAGCTGAGAAAAAAGTAAAATACACAAGGTTAAAAGAACATTTTAAATGATATGCATATATTCCCTACAGAAAGAGGAGGGGATAGAGGTAGAGAACCTATATTTTGCCAAGCTTTTGTTAATTTTAATTAACAAACCATTTTGTAGTCATTAAAATGGTTAACAGCGCAGATCTTTCATCATAGGCATCATGTATATATAGTCCTCAAGTTACAACTATTTATTTACTGACCATTCAAAGTTATGATGGTGTTGAAAAAAACGACTTACAATCATCTTCCAACTTACCATTGCAGCATCCCTGCGGTCAGGTAATAGAAATTTGGATGCTTGGCAACTGGCATGTATTTGACAGTTGCAGTATCCTGGGGTCACATGATTGCCATTTACAACCTTCCCAGGGATCATAACAAGCGGAGTCAATGGGGGAAGCCAGGTTTGCTTAAGCAGTGTATAGGTCTAAGTGCTATTCCTATTTCCTTAATGACCACAGCAAAACATATCGTAAAATTGGGCTGTCTCACTTAGTGACTGTTATCTGTTAACGATGAAGGTTCTAGACCCAATTGTGCTCATAGGTCAAGGATTACTTGTAATGAAAGTACTTTGCAATTTCAGACACTTTTCAAGAGCAGCACAATACAGTAGTTTGGTCAGATTGTATCCCAGACATAAGGTGGCTTAGAAAAGTAAATATGCAAATCACAGCCACAATCTGCATATGACCACTGGAGGTCAAGAACCATTCAAAAGACACAAATGGAATGCCGTTTCATTCAGAAAAAGCTTCAGCTTAGTCCCAGAGTGAAGCTTTCTCCTTACCATCAACACCTCTAGTTTCTCTGAATTTAACTTGAGCTTGTTCCTTCTCATTTAGCCCATTATTCAGGTGAGGCAATATCCCACAGTACTGATGGCTTGGGAAGAGCAATGGCATTGTGCATCTGTTAAACAGTATGCATGTGGATGAATAAACTTAAGATTCACTCAAAACAGGCCACGTTTGTTTAGGAAGATTTCTTATGCTGCATGTGGAGAATTGCAATTTTAACAAAGGTGAAGCAAGATATCTCTCTAGCAACGAAAGAGAGTTCTCAAAGCGCGTAGTTTCCATGTGAACTAAGGGAAGAAAGGCACTCTGCTGGAAAAGTACCAGAAGGGAGGAAAGAAATGCTTTGAGTAACCCGGTGAGTGGGCACTGTAGTCCTTGGAAGCCGCTGCATAGAAGGAACATTCTGTGTAGGTCACCTTGATTGTTCTGGAACTCAAACTTAACCTTTGCATTGGGAAGGTATGTTTAGATGTGTGAAGGAAGAGAATATATAGTTTAGAGTCTCTTAGATCAGAAAATGAACAATACAGAATATAAACCTGCATTTGTTTCTACATGTCTGAGTTGCTAGAAAAAGTAATGCTGGGAATGACTTACAGACCCCAGTGTGACAGGATGAACTCCTTTTCCATTATATAATTCTCTTCAGGAATATGAACATCAGTCTACTGCAGAAGCAAAATTTGTAAAACAGCTGGACCAATGTGAAATGATTATTCAAGCTTTAGAGTATGAAGAGTTAGAGAAAAGACCTGGGAGATTACAAGACTTTTATGATACTACTGCTGGTAAATATCCTTTCCTTTAAACAAGTTTATGTTTATGACTCATGAGACAAAACAAATGCTTCTTTACTGAGGGATGACACTGCAGGATGCCGTTCGCCTTTCTTTCTGGTGCAGAGCTAGCTCGTCCCCTGTGGTGCAGCTTGGAAAGTGCACAAATGTGAACCAAACAGGGCCAGCAGTCTTTGGCAGCCAAACTACTAGTATGTATTAGCATTGTAGTCTCCCAGCTAATGTAACATTGTCATACACTTCATAAAGTAAAGATGTGATATTAATTTAAAACAGATGACTGGGATCCCCATGATTGCCTTTTCAAAGTGTTCTGGTATCAAAATTTCTCAAACTAGAAGCTGATAGCACCAAGATGGAAAAGGGAAGGAGTTGGACTGTCCTTCCGGGGGCTGCTCCCTTTTGCTGACTGGAAAAAAGATTTGTTGTTTTGGCCTCTGGAAACCTATTGGGATCAGAGGGTTATTCATAGCCTAAATCTTGTAGAAGTCTAGTTACTTGTACATTTTCCAAGAAATTAAATTTTGGTTGTAGCATCTTGTCCTTCAAGAAATGGATCCATCCATTAAAGTCTTTGACATGAAGTTGCAAGACATTCTAGTTAGAATTTTTCAAAGACACAAGCTGCTGCCAACAACCATTTCTATGATGGTTCGTGCCCTTGTTTTCCATGACTTTGCCTTGTCTACTTGTATTTTGGAAGGCTAGCAAGAAAGCTGTCAATTTGTGTAGCTCTCCGTGATGTTGATTTCAGAGGCAAAAGACATTTAAAAGCCCAGCCAATTGTGTTGATGTGTTATGGATTTGATTCTCCTCTCATCTGATCTGATTTCAGGTAGCAGATTAAGGCAATAACACAACATAGCTGCCTAGCATTTTTTCAACATTCCAACCTTTATTGTAATTTTAGGATGAAATACCTCAGTTTAGAAAATGGAACCAGTCTAGGCAAACAAATAAGTACCAAATATTAAAGCTTACATAATGTAGTAACACAGTTCTTGTAGAGAAAATTATAGTTACCAGAGTTGCTGCCATAATCTTGTACTTAGCCTATTTGAAGAGTATGTAAACTAACTAAAATCTTTTTTCTGCAGGAAAATTTAGTCACCCAGAAATAGTCCAGCTTGTATCTTCGATAAATAAAGAAAGAAATGCAAATATAGCTGCGGAAAACAGTGATCCTCCAACTTGAATCACGTTTGAAATGTGCTTAGCTGGATCTAAAATAAATTATTTTATGATTTGAACGTGTGTGTGTGATCTTGTGGTATAATATACATAAAGACTGTTGGTTTATCAAATAATTTGTAGAAAATGTAGGCAGTGAAATGAATGAGGCTGTGATATGGAATAGGAAGGCAAATATTTTTTTAAGTATTGGAGTCAAAAAATTAAAGTGGCTGCTTTAAAAGCACAGTTGGAGTTTTATAGGAAGCAACTAGTACCTAGAATATTCAGTAACAAATTAAAATTGGACACAGTATTAACCACTTTGTTACTTCCATCTTAGACTCTCTGCACAGCAAAAGTCTGTATTAAGTGAGAAAACACGTTCACCATTTGGGCAGTTCCAATTATTGAATTTCAAACACGAAAACCCAAATGATTAAACCATGTGTCAACTTTTTGGTCTGCTTCCCTGAACATTTGCAATAGAAACAGTAACCTTCTTTAAATGAACCACATAACCCAGCAAGATAGGAAGACAAAAGTGAAACAGGGAAAAAAAAGCTGTTTGTGTCCCACTCTACATAACTTATAAACACAAACAATTCAAATTGCTTAATGCTGCATAAATGTAATTGAGCTCCATATTTTTTAGATATGTTTTTTACCAAGTTCAGCAGTCATAAATTACAAGTTATTATATTTATTTAACATACTTTAAAGATCCAGCCCTAAAGTAAGAATTGAAATTTTAAATATTTTCTTTAAAAACTATAAATATGCTCGGGTCTTTTAGATAGGACACTTATTTTACTCCAACTGAAAAGAGAAAAATGTTATTACCGTACAATTCAAACAATTGCAGGCAAGAATGGATATAATATGGCTCAGATTATTATCAGATTAAATCTCCACATGTTTGCAAGGAATTGGAACTGTTTATATACACCAAATTTTTTACTGGTTGACTATTTCAAAATTATCTTTTTTTTCTTTTATTATTTCCTCACTACTTTGTACTAAAGCCATGTGTATCATTGCTTCTTTAGACAGAAATCTTTGCAACATAATTGTTTTTGGTTCCAATCCTTATCCCAATGGCACATATAATAATAAAGAGGTTGGTTTTCTTTTAACAGTCATAAACAGGCACATACACAGAAAGCAGACAAAAACAGCATTGTTTATAGCAAGAGAAATAGAATAGGTAATAGCTTGAACAATAATAACCTCAGCTTATTTTCTGAAATTCATTATAAAAACATGCATGGACAAATTTCTTAAGATAATACATGCCATTTTAAATATTGACACAATTGTAACAATGTTCATGTAACAATGTAACAATGTAAAATCACTTATAAGCATAAATAGAATAAAATGGGTAATACAGAAGGACAGCTAGCAGTTACTTCTGCAGCAATAGTTGCCATTTGGTTGCATCCCTGCCGATTTTTCTGCCTAGTATTGTCTATCTAGGTATATTCTCAATGCAGTCCTACAACTTCATACTCAGCCGTGGAGAGAAAAGAAACATTTTACGTATCAGTCATATGCAAACAGCAGGGCAAAGAAACCCTCACCTAGCAATGGAGCTCCTCTTCAGTTTCGGAAAGTCGGCTGCCCACAATGGGACTCCTAGCACTGGCATTGGCCGCAGAGCTAAGAACTTCTTCAAAGTTTCCTCCAGGGTGAGGTGTACCTCCAACTTTTGTCTGGAAATAATAAAACCATTTATTTTTTTATTTTTTTGCTAAAATCAATAATTTCATCTTCGTCCCTCTGGACTGTTTACATATTTTGACTTCCATACCATGAACTACCGTATTTTCACGACCAAAAGCCGCACCGGATTAAAAGCCGCAGTATCAATTAA